TTTGCAATCTATATGGGATGGCTGCCAATCCTTTGGTCCTTGAATGAAACTGGTATACTTTGTTATTTATCACCGTTTTCTTTAACCAATTATGTTCTTTAATGAAAGGCTGACAGACAAGTTCCTTACATTTTCCCCCTTCCACTTTCCTCTTCCATTTTTGCAGTAATGCTGCAATTATTTGGTTGTAACATTGGGTAGAGCAGACATTTCCATATGTTTTTGTTAGCTGCATGTGCAACATAACTCCACCAGTCCTACCGATGATATCATTTACGAAGATTATACCTTTTTTAAACATTTTGTCAAAGAAAATGTTTTTTTATCAATTAGTGTATTTGAGTTTAACCACAATATTTGTTGCGTTATTTGTTCTGTCGTTTCTGGAGGATTAAATTGAAATTGCAACCAACCTTCTATGGCTTGATTTAGAAATAATGATATTAGGGAGATTATTTCCTTTTCAAAGAACTGAAAGTGTGAGGTTGTTATCTGAATTAAGGGGAAAAAGGCCATTCTTGAACATTAGGTGAGACAATCTTACTAATTTGCTAGGGAACCAGTTCGGATATAAGTATAACTTTTGTATGACTAAAGCTTTAAGTGATAGGTCTAATGCTTTAATATTTAATAATTTCTGTCCTCCGAATTCATATTCATTATATACATAGGCCGTTTAATTTTGTCTGGCTTGCCGTTCCAAATAAAATGGAATATTTTTTTCTCATATCATTTTAAAAACCTGTTCGCTAGGCTTAGGCAAGACCATAAGCAAATAGGTAAACTGGGATAATACTAAAGAGTTAATCAGGGTGATTTTTCCACAAATTGACAGGTATTTACCTTTCCATGGTAGCAAGATCTTATCTATTTCTGCTAACTTTCTATTAAAATGTATTGGAGTGAGATCATTTATTTCATTTTGGATATGTATTCCGAGTATATCCACATCACCATCAGACCATTTTATTGGTAAACTGAATGGTAATGTACATTTATTTTTTTTTAGTGATCCAATACATAATATAGTACATTTATCATAATTTGGTTGTAATCCAGAGAGGTTTGAAAATGTATCTAGATCCTCTATGAGGCTGTGGAGGGATTCAAGTTGTGGATTTAAAAGAAAACATGAATCATCAGCGTACATTGACACCTTTGTTTTTAAGCCCTGGATTTCTAATCCTTTGATATTATTGTTGGATCTGATTTTAATAGCTAACATCTCGAAGGTCATAATAAATAGATATGCCGATAGTGGACCACCTTGTTTCACTCCTCTTGACAGTTTAAAACTTTCTGAGAAATAGCCATTATTTATTATTTTACACCTAGGGTTACTATACATGATTTTAACCCATTTTATAAGAGATTCTCCAAATTTGAAATGCTCCAGGCATTTATGTATAAACCCCAGTCGTACTTTATCAAATGCCTTTTCGAAGTCTGCTATGAATAGCAGGCCTGGTTTACCAGATTTTTCATAGTGTTCTATTGTTTCCAGTACTTGCCTTATATTATGTCCAATGTATCTTCCATGTAAAAAACCTGTCTGATTAGAATGAATAATGTCCGACAATACCTTTTTAATTCTATGAGATATACATTTTCCTATAATTTTTGCATCACAACACTGAAGTGTAAGGGGCCTCCAATTTTTTTAAATGGACTGGCTCTTTGTATTTTCCACTTGTATCCTGTTTCAGTAATAATGAAATCAGAACCTTCTTCTTGAGTGTCTGATAATCTACCATTTACATAGGAGTGGTTAAAACATGCTAATAACGGTCCTCTGAGTATATCAAAAAAGGTTTGGTATACCTCGACTGGTATGCCATCCAACCCCGGACTTAAAGTCTTTAATTGCAACCAGAAGTTCCTCCTCTGTAATTTCACCTTCACATGAGTCTTTCTGTATGGCTGTTAATTTTACAATATCAATAGAAAAAAATCTCTACAATTAGCCTCAGTTAGAGGAGATGGAGGCGACTGAAACAAAACCATATGCTTAAAGTACTTTGTTTCCTCCTTCTAAATATAATTTGGTGAATCATGGGTGACTCTGTCATTTGTAACCAGTTTCAGTAAATTATTTTTGGTAGCATTCCTATGCTGAAGATGAAAAAAGAATTTGGTGCATTTTCCCCCCATATTCCATCCAGTTTGCTTTATTTTTTATAATATATTACACTTGATCTCTCTTGAATAAGTTTCTCCATTTCTTTTTGCTTTTCCTCTCATTTATTCTGAGCCTCTATGTTACAGTTTTTATTGCCATCTATCTGTTCTGTTAGACCTTCTATTTCCTTTGTTAGTATGGACTCTTTTGATCTAAATTGCTTTTGTTTTTGAGATGAGTACTGAATTGCATGGCCTCTAAAGGTACATTTAAAGGTGTCCCATACAATAAGGGGATTTGCTGTACCTATGTTATGTCGGACAAAATCTGTTTTAAAAATCTAGTTTCTAGAAGGATTACTTTTATACTATTCCAGGTATTCCTTAAAGAGGTAGGGTTTCAAGTGTCTCTGGAACGTGGTCAGTGACTCCGCTGTCCTGGCGTCGTGGGGGAGCTTGTTCCACCATTGGGGTGCCAGAGCAGCGAATAGCTTTGACTGGGCTGAGCGGGAACTGTGCTTCCGTAGAGTTAGGGGGGCTAGCAGGCCAGAGGTGGGTGAACGTAGTGCCCTCGTTTGGGTGTAGGGTCTGATCAGAACCTGAAGGTACGGAGGTGCCGTTCCCCTCAAAGCTCCGTAGGCAAGCACCATGGTCTTGTAGTAGATGCGGAGCAGCGGGGTGACATGAGAGAACTTGGGAAGGTTGAACACCAGACGGGCTGCAGCGTTCTGGATAAGTTGTAGGGGTTTAATGGCACAGGCAGGAAGGCCAGCCAACAGCGAGTTTCAGTAATCCAGATGGGAGATGACAAGTGCCTGGATTAGGACCGGTGCCGCTTTCTGTGTAAGGTAGGGTCGTACTCTGCGAATGTTGTAGAGCATGAACCTGCAGGATCGGGTCACCGCTTTGACGTTAGCGGAGAACGACAGGGTGTTGTCCAGGGTCACACCAAGGTTCTTTGCACTCTGGGAGGAGGACACAATGGAGTTGTCAACCGTGATGGCGAGATCATGGAACGGGCAGTCCTTCCCCGGGAGGAAGAGCAGCTCCGTCTTGCCGAGGTTCAGCTTGAGGTGGTGATCCGACATCCACACTGATATGTCTGCCAGACATGCAGAGATGCGATTCGCCACCTGGTTATCAGAAGGGGGAAAGGAGAAAATGAATTGTGTGTCGTCTGCGTAGCAATGATAGGAGAGACCATGTGAGGATATGACAGAGCCAAGTGACTTGGTGTAGATCAGGATATTTAAGCCTCCATATATCTACTAGTTCTAATGTATCCATGACGTTCATGATTTCCTTAAGAGCATGATGGGTGATTGTTTGTAGTGTGATCTCCATTGAGCTATTTAAAACGGTATTATAATCTCCCACCATAATAAAGTATTGAATTGCTTGCAGGGTTGATAATTTATTATATATATTGTCAAAGAAGTGTGGATCATCATTATTTGGTCCGTAAAGGTTAATGAGCCATATCTGTTTATGGTCCAATAACATATTTAAAATAATAACCTTGCGTATCTGTTTGGACAATTTGCACACTCGGATCGAAATTACTGTTAATTCATATCATCACCCCTTTTGAGTTTCTTTGCCCATGGGAGAAGTATATTTCGCCCCCCCATTCCTTTTTCCACGCAACTTCATCTAGAATTGTTGAATGAGTTTCCTGTAAACAATAGATATTATATTCCTTCTTGTTTTGTTCATTCTCTAATAAAAGGGACCAACCTTTGCTAGGGATATTTGATTACCAAATGCTGACCTTTTTAGCCATGCAGTATTTATTTTCTGCCGTGTAGATCAATGAGCAGCCCCATGCTGGACCTGACAGGGTCAGGCAGGGGAGAAGGAAGTGCCCCTGACAACTCCAGCCCCCTGACACACACACACACGCATGCACATGCACGTTTAACCCCCTAAGGTCGTTGTCCGTGCCCCGCGGAAATCTAATTTGCGTAATACAAAAATCCCCATAAAAATCAGTCAGTTTAAGCTAGAGATATCGGTATTTTTTGCATTGGATGTATATCAATCTGCTTATGTCACACTTCCCTTATCAGCGGTGGAAGGTGACCGAGCTAGCGCGGTGTTTGTCAGATCATGAGACATCCCGAAAATCAGTCTTCTCACAATCGTCTGTAGCGTCCAAACGGTTTGGCCTACAAACTATTATGGCCCCTCTGGAAAGATGAGACTCTCACAAACACGATGATGTTCTCCGTTTTGGGACTTGTCTGAAGTCGGTACGGCCGATCTGCCAACTTTTGACTGTAGTGTCCGAACAGTTTGGGCTACACACTAATATGTTTAACTTCAGAATAAACTTCCTTTCGATTTTTTTGGGGACTATCTGTTGTTCAATGCATTCGTATGGACTAATAGCAGTAAGGACAAAAATATATATTTTTTGGGGATACTTCAAGTAGTCTTCAACTTTTTTATCAATAGCAAACACGCTGTCAGTCAAATCAGCCCAGGATGCCACACTCTCACACATCTCTGCTTGCTGGGAAGAGAGAGAAAAACGACAGGAAGAGAGGAAAGGAGAGAAGTGGCATTTGGCTGCAACGCTGGGACTGAAATACTGAAAATCCTGCTGAGATTGGACCCTGACCCCCCCCTACCCCCCCGGGGTCACGCTCGCTGTTGTATCGTTGTCAGCCCTTCCAGGCCCCCCACATGCTGCTGCTGACGGTTCCAAAATGTAAGCTCTAAATCTTGTAAAAGTTTAGTGCCCTTGAAGTGCCGCCTAGAAAAGCACACCGCCACCACCACTCCCCTCACGGCAGGGCCGGCTGGCGCTACATGCCAGGGAGAAATCAAGCAGACAGTGTGCCAGCGTAGTGTGGGCAGTGCCCACAGTGCCCACACCAATGACCCCGGCAGCAGACCTCTGTCAGAGTTTTGAGAGCAACGGCCAAGACCCACGCTCACGCCCCCGCTGTGGGATTGCCACGGCTACGGGCGTCTGCACCCGGCCATTTTTCTATTTAATGTGTTATGATTTGGGGATTAGGTCAACAATGAACATATGCCAGCTTTTTTTGCTGAAGAATTTTGTGGTGTTTGGAAAAATAATGATGGAAAAATGTGCAAGAGGAGGGAACGGAGAGTTGAGCAGTGGAGAGAGCTGTGGGGAGTGAAATGTTTATTGTTGGAGCACTGCCACGCTGTTTGAAACAATTGGCTAAGCCCGCTAAGAGGAGGCGCTGGGCCTCACAGCTGAGAAAGCCCTTCTAGCTCAGAGCTCTAGATTCAGCCTTGTCACTCGGTCCAACCTGGGTTGTCAGAAAGTCCCATGGAGATGTTACTACAGAGGAGAACATCTTGTACCCCTGCTTGTTATTGTCCCTGTCCACTAAGAATGTGATGATGATGGAAACTTGTGAATGTCTAGTTTGTCTACATAGGCGAGCCGGTATGAACAGACGCATTCACGCACACACACACACACTGCGACGAGTCCTGAGGGGATTCTGCACTTTCCCTGGCATTTATTCACTCTGTGGTTTGTGTCTCAGTGAAGCCCGCTCGGAGCATGCTCGCTACTCATCCACTAAACCCCTCAGTCTTTCACTCTGCCTCTCCCAGAGCTGTGGTTTTGGCCTCTGTTCTCAGCTCTCTCTTTCTTTTTCAATCAGTCTTCCCCATCTGTCCAGTTAGACCTCCCTCCATTCCATCCATGGTCTTTCTCACTCGTTCTTGGGTTCGGACCAACCCTGCAGCGAGGCAACTAGCCAGCCTTAGTGTTCATTCAGCCTAGTCCAGCCCAACCCAGCTCCGCTGCACTAGACAGTTTTTGAATGGAAATTGACACTGGCCGGATGTTTACATTTGAGAGGGACCCCTATTAAAGGTATGCAGTGTGTGTGGTCAATGGCCAAACACATGAGAGTGGTTATCAAGGCTTACTACAACAGGGAGCGGGTAGGAGAGGGTCAGGCCCTCAAAGGAACTGAAAAAAAATGACAGGCTGTTTTCTCTCTCCTCCTCCCATTGAGCGGGTCACTCAGCTGTGCTAAATGACAAGTGGGGTGATTACAAAAGAGGAGCTCTCTCCTCCAGTGGGAGACCCCCACACCCTGGTCATGTGACCCTGATAGTCAGAGGAGGCAGTCGCCGTTGCCGCCACGCCACAGGATCAAGACCTTATCAACATCACAGATATGTTGTGTATGGCAACTTTACCCCATCCATTTGCTGACGCTTGCTCAGGCGGTATATTTTGCTAATTCGTTCGTGAGGTAAACAAGTTTACGTCGTCTACCTACTCAAATGTCAGTTATTAGCCTATGTCCAATTATTTGAACAAAAATAGGAGAAGCACCAATGTGGCCTGAAGTATCCATATTGGCATGATTACAGAGACACATTTAATTGAAGTACCATATTGTGCTCAACCCTTACAAAAAATATTGCCGTTTTGAAATTGCAGTAAAAGTGCAGTAACTGCAGTCGACTGTGGTATTTTTGGACGCAGTAATTGCAGAATAACTGCAGTGAACTGCAGTGATACTGCACTGTAACTGCATTTACACTGCATAATTACTGTAGTAAAAAAACAGTGTTATTTTGGACTCAGTGTTTGCAGCATACTGCATTGTACTGCAGTTAAACTGCACTCTGACTTCCATCTTTTTTCGTAAGGGAAGGCTTTGTCCTTATTGGAACAAGATGATAACATGATCACTTTTGAAAGCCCAGCACCACCACAGATTTCAGCGCTAAGCACCAAAGTCAAAGCTACAATGTTCTAGCTAGCTTTGTGTGTGGGAGAGCGTAATCCAATGCCACAGAAAGGCTGAGTCACGATGGTGGAGTTTATCAGTTACCATTTCACAGGAAAGGGATTTTATTCCTTTATCCCTGCAGTCGATCAGCACTGTTCCTTCTCCCCTCCTCACTTGAGCAAACACAGATTAAGGCCTTAATCAAACACTCATAATCCTGTCTCACTCTTGTCAGCACTGTCAAAGATATTAAATAATCCCACGCAGCTCCCGTCAATACAATGCCTTTTAGACAGCCATTAAGAACATAAACTCTCTGTCTCTCAGGCTGGCTAGGACTGTGCACTAGCGGGTGACACGAACACAGACCCTTTTCTCGCCCTTCCTCCATTTACATAGATGGCTTTTGTCCACTGTGGTCTATTTGACCTGCAGTTGGTGAATGGACAAAGTATAATACGACAAGTTAAATGAGAATGGTGCCCGGTAGCAGGGGTCATAGTGCCTGGGGGCCTCGGAGGACCTGCAGACTTGTCCCACCGTGGGGGAGGGGGGCCTCAAGGGTGCAAGGGAGGAGGATTACGGGGGCCATGCCCGCCCATTAATGAAAGGCCGTCCACCGGGGTAAAGATTAAACTGGTGACCCAGGCAGGAGAGGCCCCAGGCTCCCTCTGGGAGCTTGTCAGCTCTTTGTTGCCATTAAGGAGGCCTTTGATGGGGGAGGTGAAGAGGGGTTAGGGGAGCAGGGCTGGAGGTGGTGGTGGAGGTGGTCTTTGTTGCTCTGCGGGGGCAGTGGGAGGGAAAGGGATGTGAAATGACAAGTTTCCTAGCTGCTGCACTTGAGAATCAACATGGGGGCAACCGGTTCATGTCTCTCCTAGCTTCTTTCTCACTCAGTGCATCTCGCTATTTCACTTTTTTTGTACTCTCTTTTCTGTCTACATTTCTCTCTCTGTCTCTTTCTCTTTTGCTCTTGTCTACTTTATCTTTCTGGACCCTTCTGGTTCCTCAGATTGATACAAATGGGCCAGGCTAACGCAGATCTTTTTAGCAAACAGTGGGAAGGGGATAAACCAAGATGGAGCAGGAGGGGGATTTAGAGATTTCAGAGGGGGGTTGGTTGCCTAGTTCACCGAGACTACTTGACTCCTTCACACATCCACTCACACACACCCTTATAAAGTCCTGAAAGATTTGCAACTCAGCCATGGAGAAGGAAAATGAATTGCCCCCAAATCCTCCGAACCCTATCTGGAGATCTGCTCTTTACGCTCTCTGGATGAGTAAAACCCCGGCGAGCTGAGCTTTTTGTCTGAGTTTGGGCTTGTCTGCCACGCCAGTTTGCTGCTCTTGGCAAACGCAGTCTGCAGAGAGGTATGCAAAACAGCCGCTGAAAGTCCCACACCGCAAGTATGAAAAACAGCCAGGCTTTCTCTCTCCACAATGAGCAACTCTCCAACAGGACTGTCTCACATATACAAGCCCTACAAACCCCAGGCAGGCTCGCTGGGAGGGGAAACACAGCTGCACACAGAGAGAAAGAGAGAGACTGACACACATTGTATTGTTAGCCTGAGAAGACTTCATGTTGCATAGTCTCCCTCCGTGTTCAGACTCTGTTCTGTTCTGGGAAGGTTCAGTGCCTGGGGGTTATGTGTAGTGTGGAAGTGAGTGAGAGAGTTTTTTGTTTTCTAGTCGAAAAACTCCCCAGTGCTTGTGTGGTGGGTCATCTGGTCCTTTGTAGCGCATGGTGCTTGTAACGCCAGGCTAGTAGGTTCGATTCCTGGGGCCACCCATACGTCAAATGTATGCACACATGACTGTAAGTCGCTTTGGATAAAAGCGTCTGCTAAATGGCATATATTATATTATACTAAATGGAGACTAGTCATCGCTGAGTCATTGTCCAGTGCGCCAACCAGCCAGCCCTTCCCCCACTGCCACCCTGCCCTTATTATCTCTTCAGTGAGGAATAAACTCATAATCGTCTAAACCTCAAAGGCCCTTGAAGCTCAACATGCGGAAGTACGGAGATCACTTTGTTTACATCTTTGCTTTGTGTAAGTCTTATCGGTTTCACGCTCTCGTGAGTTTCTATCTTCACTAAGTGAAAGACCAGGGTGAGAACAAAGGCTTTGCAGGTATTTCCAGCAACAACTACTGCATTCCAAGCGAAAAGTGCGAGGGAGACAGGGGCCGAGAGCTCTCTGAGCTTATAAAAACTGAATTAGCCTTCAAGACGCTGTCAGACATGTAGCTCTAATGCTGGCAGACTCGGGTTACCACCAACGACCTATCTGGCACACAGAGGTCACTATCAGGGGAGAGGCTTGACGCGAGCTGCAGGCTTTCAGGCCTGAAAAGCAGCACTGTGTGGGCTTTTTTACCACTTGTTTTTTCCTCACGATGTGGCTACGAGAACATAGGCTAGGTTACACTTATTCATATACACACACACAGCTCACACACTTCAACCCACACCTGTGTTTTTACAATTATATATGTGAATTCAGGGACTTCCCTCGCCTGCTTAAAGCACTTATGTGATTTCAGGGACTACATGAATGGTGTTTAATAAGCTCAGAAATGGACCGAATCAGATTTTTTTATGCCTTGGCTCAGACTTTCTTTACGAGGCTCCGGTGTTGAACCTCAGAGTTGCGTGCCATTTGAAATAACATTTGCGCGCCAGAGCAAATGACATGGAATTGGCAGAGGGTTTTGTTTGTCTTGCACCTTGCCCAGGCAATGGGCCCCAGGTTCAATTTCAGTGGTAATGGTTACCTTTCCAGCAACGCGCTGATGTCATGCTAACTGATCGCAGATGGGATAATTGCTACCAAGGCGGTTCTGTGTAACGTCTGCCTGGATGTAAATTCGCGCACATTTATCATTGTTTGTTTGAACGGCTAGTCTCGTTGAAAATAAATGTTTTTCTCATTGTAATGTCGTGAACTTTTTTCTATTGCCGTTTTACTGCTCTGACGAAAACCATGCACGGCAATAATAGTTAGAATCTATTGGAACGGTTGTAAAGCACAGCTATAGGCTTTTGAGTGAATGGTGCTTATTCCCTTTTTTGAAACCAAACCAATATTGTACACTTGAGTTAGGCAACATTATCTTGAGTGTGCTGTGTAAACACAATCATTGTGACTGAGATTTATGAGAGAAGCTGCAAAGGCAAAACGGTCAGCTGATGGAGTTCAGGTCAATTATGAAAGGCAAGCCCCCGGGGGAATGTCTCAATGAAATGGAGTGTGTGTGGTAGTGATTCTATGGAAGCTCATCCTGTGATACCAACTGCCGCCTAGTGGTCCAAGAGCGCATGGCAGTTTCTCTCAGCAGCCAAGCACGCAGACGAGTCGAGCCTCAATCCTCCACTCCCCCTCACTCTTCTAGTATCAAAGTGTCTGCCATCCAATGCACAAACCATTCGAGAGACAAATTGATGGCGACAGACCTGGGCTCTCACAACCAGGGAACTCTTTTATATGCCTCAGCTGTTTCCTTCCCCGACACGAAAATACAACCTTTTTTTTTCTGTGGAGCCTCTGCAGTCTGCAGGCAGCAATGTCAGATGGAGGACACCGTGCCCCTGTTTTTTCCTCCTCCTTCGCTCAGCTGCATACAAATGGCCGTCTGTCAGTGTACTGTGCTGCTCTTAGGCTGTAATCAGGAACTGCTCTGTTCTAATGGAGGGGTGAGGGGTGTGTGTGTGTTTTAGCAGTTCCAACAGGGGAACCAGCATGCAGCATGCAGCATGCTGAATACTAAACAGTCCCGATATTTTATTCAATACTCTGAGATGACATTCATTTCAGATTTACCTGAATGTTGCTTAGTGCTGTCTTTTCTCTTGAGGAATTAATATGAAACCAATGATTAGTGTGACAGATTTGAGTATTTTTGCTAATAGTTAGCGGTGCGATTATATGATCTGTTTATTGTGTGTGTGTGTGTTGCATGATGGTTTAGACTTTTGGCTGATGAAGGAAGACATGAGATGACAGTTCCTCTATGATCTTCATTCCTCATCGTGCCCCCTCTCCTCCTCCTCCCAGGTATGCTGGTGGTAAACGTGACCTGGAGAAACAAAACCTATGTGGGAACCCTCCTGGACTGCACCAGGCACGACTGGGCCCCGCCAAGGTAAGCATACAGTAACTCAAATACACACACTCACTCAAAACATACAAACCCACGCATGCACACACACACGTTCAAACAGAACATACAGTCTGTCAGACACTTGAAAACAGACAGATACTGGTATGAAGGGCCTCGAGGGCAGATTTCCCCCATAGCTTTTCCTGTGCTCGGAGCTAGCCATTATGAATGAAATACCATTGGGTAACATCTCAGAAGCTTTTCCCCCCACTGACACAGGGGTTTTGAAATGCAACATCAGGGGTTGGATTGATTTTTCTCCTCTGCCATCGATCCTGTCAAGAGGCACCACAGAGCTGGCTGAGCCTTTCAGCCTTTCACAGACTTCTAATTAACACGTGTAATGACTGTATGCCAGCACCAGCAGCGCAAGCCTCCCTCTATGCTTATGCGCGAGTGAAGTGAGTTCGGAAAAAAACTGAAAGTATGCATCTTATAAATAGTTTTCACATACAAACTTTTTATGTCTCAGAATCAAATAAGCTTCCCAAAGATAACATGGTGGAATGTTTATTTTGATAGACAATTTTGTGCATTTATCAGAATCCAATCAGGTAGCCTGATTTCAGATGTGTCATGTCAACAAGATTATTAGGGAAATTGTTCTTCTCACAAAGCAAGAACATTTTGCACTGCTTTGGTGGAATTCTCCGCTCTGTCTGACCTACATTCCCCTCTTGCGTTCTGCATCTAACATATTTATTAAAATAGGCTATAGCAAATGGGAATAGGCAAATTACTCTGAATGTAATTTGAGTGCTGCCCTGCTGTGCGCTGCGAGACTCCATTCTTTACTGCTCAAAATGACCACCTGATGTGGGCATAAACATTTTATTTTGAATCAAACATTTTTAAACGGGATTTCTAGTCAAGTTCAAAAAGGCTGAACCATCATCTGTCACATCACGATGTCGTCAAGATCGACGATGCTGTCGTAATATTCCCCAACCCTACAATGAATATAAGAATATAAAGAGTCGATAGGTAATTGCTTCACCATGTGTTGGTAAGTAAGATTAACAATTTCTATAGTACTGTAAGTAATCGTCCTTCATCTCCATAGCTTTGTGTGGTACACAGTAATCTTCTCATGTAATTTAACTATGTATTCAACCATTAATCCAAGTTGCAATTTGTCAGTGGTTCATGTAGAAAAACCCAGTCTCACATGCTATCGTCACAGATCTGATCTACCCTGCAGCTGCCTTTCCTGACGTGCAACATGTCATTTGATAGAGCTCTGTGACTCTTCTCTCTCTGTCTCTCTCGCTCTGTTCCCTGTTGGCTGGTGTGTAAAAGGGGGGATGTTATCTCTTCCTATCTGATCAGCTGCTACGTCACCCTGGCCTTATCTGTCCGAGCCCCGTGGCGCTTGGCAATCTGTCAGAACACATCGGGCTGTTGAGATTGGGGGGATAACGAGAGGATCAGAATCCACGTCCAGGGCCTGTAAAAAAAAGTTCTGGGAGTGTCAGAAATGTTGAGCCTTTATCGTGTCTGGTGTTACGAGCCGATCCCGGTTACTGACTAATAGAGACACTGCCAGTATGCATACAATAATACGATTATTGTGAATAGTCAGATTCATATAATAGTTTGATTAAAACGTTTACATGCTTTGCAAGAAGAACGATTGGGGGGATGTAATGGGCGATAGGTTGATAGATCTAATTCTCTGGTTTTGGTTCTCTTAGGTTCTGTGAGTCCCCCACCAGCGACTTGGAGATGAGGAACGGCCGGGGCCGGGGGAAAAGGATGAGGCCAAACGGCAACACTCCTGTCAACGAGAACAGTAACTCATCAGACAACAAGGGCAGCGGCACCAGCAAGACTCGCGCCGCCAACAACAGCAGCAAGGGCCGGCGGGGCAGCCAGACGTCGTCGGAGCGCCGCACACCACCCAACAGCAACACGGAGGATGTCAAGGCCAGCTCATCGTCAGCCAACAAGCGCAAGAACAAGCCTGCCTCGGACATGGAGCCAAACTCCAGCTCGGAGGACACCAAGGGCAGCAAGCGCATGCGCACCAACTCCAACAGTGGCCCCAGAGGAGTGCCCCACCTGTCCCACGCCGGCTTCCAGGGCATCCCCACCATTAATGCGGAGCCCCTTCCCCCACCACAACTCGACCGCAACTGCCCTTCTCCGGTGCTCATCGACTGCCCGCACCCCAACTGCAACAAGAAATACAAGCACATCAACGGCCTCAAGTACCACCAGGCCCGCGCCCACAACGACGACGACATCAAGTTGGACATGGACGGGGACAGCGAGTACGGAGAGGACTCCACTCTTCACCCCGATCCGGGCAGCTGCAACGGGGCCTCCATCTCTCAGAAGGGATGCTTGTCCCCGGCCCGTTCGGTCACACCCAAGGGCAGGGGCTTCGAGGCCCAGACTCCGTCGCCCTCCTCTGGGAAGTTTGGCTCCAAGCAGAGTAAAAAGAAGCCCTGCGAGGCCGACCCGGAGGCAGGTGGCATGGCCATGGACGGCTGCGAAGATGGGCCCTGCCTAACAGATGAGGCTAGCAATGACGGCATGGACGACAAGAAAGACAGGGCCAAGAAGTCGGGTAGCGGCTCCAAGGCGGACAAGCTGGCCCAGAAGGGCATGAAGTCAGCACGGCCCATCGCCACGGCCATACCACCTCAGCAGCTGTACTCCCTACAGACGGCCGGCGGCTTCCCTGCAGCCAGCCCCGGCTCCACCCCCGCCTTGGGCTCAGTGGTTCAGTCCATTCCCAAGAGCCCCCAGCTGAAAGCCATCCAGCCCAAGCCCTCGGCCCTGGGAGACCCCTCGTCTGTGAACCCAGCTCTGAGTGGCTCGAAGGACAAGAAGAAGAAAGACAAGAAGAAGAAGGAGGCGGGAAAGGAGGGAGACAGCCCCAAAGGGCTGGGGAAAGGGGGGAAGCCGGAGGAAGGCAAGAGCCCATACTCTGAATCCTCGGACCCGGGGAGCAAAGGCGATGGACTCCTGAACGGCTCATCGGACCCCCACCAGAGCCGGCTGGCCAGCATCAAAGCAGAGGCGGACAAGATCTACAGCTTCACCGACAACGCCCCCAGTCCATCCATCGGCGTGGCCAGCCGGATAGAGGCTGGAGTCATGGCCCAACCCCTCACCCCGCTCCACGTGGTCACGCAGAACGGAGCCGACAACTCCTCGGTGAAGACCAACAGCCCGGCCTACTCGGACATCTCGGACGCAGGTGAGGACGGCGAAGGTCGGGTGGAGGGCGTCAAGGGCATCAAGTCCGAGGAGCATGCCATCCGAGAGGGGGCCAAGAAGGCCCTGTTCCCCGCCCAAACGCCCAGCAAGGAGTCCCCCTACTACCCCGGCTACGAGACCTACTACTCCCCGAACTATGCCAACCCCAATCCCAGCCCGGGGGTGTCGGTCACGGGGTCCGCACTGCAGGAGGGGGCCCAGGTCAAGGTAAAGAAAGAGGAGCAGGAGGAGCCAGGCGACGAGGACCTTAAGGTCAAGCAGGAGCAGCAGGAGGACCGTAAGCCAGAGATGGGTGCCTCTGGATCGGGGCAACAGCAGCAGCAACAGGCCTCGGTCATCCAGCAGCGCTCCAACATGTACATGCAGCCTCTCTACTATAACCAGTATGCCTACGTTCCCCCATACACGTACCACCCAGACCAGGCCTACCACAACCACCTGATGAACACCAACCCAGCCTACCGGCAGCAGTACGAGGAGAGGCAGCGGCAGGCAGCAGCCGAGCAACACCGCGCCGCCGAGAAGAAATCAGACACTGCTGGAAAGGACAGAGATCGAGAGGGCTCCTCGGGGAAGGAGCGGAGTGAGGAATGGAAGCAGAAGGCTTCGGTGCCCCCCACCCTCTCCAAGGCCCCCAGTCTCACAGATCTGGGCAAAGGAGGGCTGCCCCAGGGCAAGCTGCCCAAAGAGCCCTCGTCCTCCTTGGAGCAGGCCAAGTCATCGGTCATCATCCCCAAGGGTGAGGATGCCAAGGCGCCGGCCCAGCAGGCCGAGGGGCTGAAGATGAAGCTGAGCGAAGGAGGGCACCATGGGAAGGGGGAGGAGCTCAAGGCGGGCATGGAGTCGGGCAGGCCCTCGGCCATGGAGCAGGGCATGTGGTACAGACAGGTAACATGACCCAGCTGTGTTTGAATCTGTTGATTTTGATTGGATGTTAGAAACATTTTACGTAACGAGCCACCCATTCAAAATGAGCAGTATAAAACTGAGTATTTTTATATTTTGAGAAATGTTTAAGTGAATGTAAAAAAAAATTGTAAGACTCAACTGTTGAGATATTGTTTGTCATGAGATATGTTGTGTTGTTTTCAGGAGCCTGACTCGCGGCTGTGGCCTTACGTTTACCCCAGCAAGTACCCTGAGGCCCAGAAACCACAGGACGAGGAGCGGTGGAAAGAGGAACGCGACAGGGAAAGGGAAAGAGACAGAGATCGAGCAGACCGAGAGAGGGACAGGGACCGAGACAACAGAGACAGGGAACGGGACCGAGACAGAGAGATAGACAGAGACCGAAAGGGCAAGGAGGGCAGGGATGAGAGGGCTCGGCCCAAAGACGCCACCCCCAAGGAGGAGAGCAAAGAGGGGGCTGAGCCTCGGTCGTCGTTGACGGCCTCTGAGGAGCACAGGGGGATGGGGAAGGACCCGAGGGCCACTGCTGCCCACATGCAGTTCTCCTCCCCCCTTGCCCAGCACCAGGGCTACATGCCCTACATGCACGGAGCCTATGCCTACGGCCAGGGCTACGACCCCAGCCACCCGGGCTACCGCGGGATGCCCTCAGTCATGATGCAGAACTACCCTGGTAAGAGTTAATGCTGTGGGATACATACTCCTCTTCCATTGGGATTGTGTTTAAATCTGTATTATGATGATGTACAAAAATGACTTGGTGTATTAACTCCTGCCATTTTGGAAACGCGTTGTTGATTCAAATGTCATGGTGTCTAACCACCTCTGTCACCTCCAGGTTCCTACTTCTCCTTCTCCCCGTACGGCAGTAAAATGGGGCCAGGCGAAGAGGGCGGCGAGAAGGCGGCGCGCGCCAGCCCCACGGTCAGCGGCAAGTCCGCCTCGGAGGCAAAGGCCCTGGACATCCTTCACCAGCACGCCAGCCAGTACAAGAGCAAGTCGCCGACAGTCGGCGACAAGACCCCCTTGCGTGAACGGGAACGGGAGCGCGCTGCTTCCGAACGAGACCGAGATATGGACCGGCCACGCTCCTCGCCCTCGCAGCGCATCCTGCCTTCCCATCACCACCTGGGCTACCCGCTTCTCTCGGGGCAGTACGACCTGTCCTATGCCACAGGTGAGTGACAGATGGACGCCCACAAAAAACGGGCTCAAGCACACGGACACATCTCTGCATTTAGTGTTCTATTAGCTAACTGGTCAAATAGAGCGCTATTCTATGGTAATCGCCTAACTGTAAAATTATATAACTTTGTAAGGCCCTTTTCTGCTACATAAGGTACTATAGAAAAAGTACAATAATAACATGCAATCCATGAGTCATTATTAGTATATGGAGGGTATGTAACAAGTGGCTCTTTCTTCATAGGTCTCTCCTCATCAGCCATTGTTGCCAGTCAGCAAGCCTCCGCCCCCTCCATGTACCCACCTGCACGGAGGTGAGAATGGTAAGCAAGAACCAGATCCCCTTCACAGCTCCTGAGGACAACAAATGCTGCATACACACACACACACACACACACACACACATCTTCCTGGTGTTTAAACATGGTCATTTTTCTGTAGCTAGTTCCTTAGTCAAAAACTGCTGCTGACTAGAGGGATTTCCTGTTGTTTGATGACAAACATACACTGCATTCTATGGTGCCCTCTGCTGGACGAAATATGAACAAACATCAACTACATTTTTTTCCAAGCATCATTAGACAAAACAGAATGTGTGATTCTCTGTAGGGCGTTACTACAATATAGGCTTGATTAAGCAATGCTAAATACAGGCCAATCATCTTGTTGAATGTGGATTTTAAATTCTTGCTGTTGTATAACTCTCCCTGTCTCATTTTTCCCCACAGGGAGACCTGATTGGCTGACCTCAACTTTGCCTGGAGCCATGTGACTGGATCACATGAGGAAGCGTGCTGCGGTGCTCGTTTTTAGACATCAGTTCAATGGTGTTTGTTGTATTTTTTGTTGTTTTTGCCTGGTTGTTCCGGCTGATCTGGTTCCTCCTCCCTCAGCTTCTGTGATGGCCACCCCACGGCAAGGCTTCCTGTGGCTGGGTTGAGGGCTCACTGAGCCCACCTCCTCTGGTACCGCACAGCCAACCAGCCAGCCAGTCCATCGACACTTTTGCACTGCTGAGACATTCACAGGATGGACTAAAAGGCCTGAAAAAAAGGCCTGATGAGACTGGCACGTTCTGATGGGGTGAGCCCCATCACACAGACGGCCATTTTGGAACTGGAGAGTGCAAAGGGGAGATGGGGTCGATCAGAAACAAACTGGATTAAGTTTGAAATCACTACATGGAAATATGGACTTAATGGATTGTTCGCAGATCCTGGGCCTTAGCGTAATAGAGGTTGCAGCTTGACTTGAGGAAGTGTGTTGTTTCGTCCATCCACCAACCTACCCACTGACCCTGAGGACATATTGAGACATTCATTGCAATGGACCCATATTTTTCAGTTGTGTTTTTTGGGGGATGGTTGTTTGGGCCAGAGGAGGGGTGACTGAGAGGGGACCGACTGGTGTATGTTGTCCCTGCCCCTCTCCACCACTCTGGGCTTTCTATGCAAGCCGAAGCTGCTCATCTCCACATACTGACAGAAACAGCCCTCCTCTCTGTCTGTTCAGTTTCAGGGGGAGGAACTTTCAAATTCACGTTCTGTTTAATCTGTTTTGTGAAAAGTTATCATCCGCCTACTTGAGTTCGTTCAGAGAGTAAACCATATCCGTGTTTGTTTTTTTGTTGCTTTTTTTGTACGAGGCTTTTGTGCGTTGTTCGTTCCACCGCACAAGTCTCCACACTTCATGTTTTTTTAGATTATTTGAGCAGTTTATATTTGTTATTTTTTTCTTCACATCTTGACTTGACGACCTTGTTTCCATCTCACTCTGACCCAGTGGGGAACACTACTGGCCTCTCTCAGTGCCGGCAGCGGCAGCTGTGTCGCGGGTTTCCTTTTCCAAAGGGTCATCCAGTTTACAAAGCAGCACCAATGCATCTGCTACGGCTACAGCTCCCAGCTGCTCAGCTGGGAGAGGACATATCTGTGCCTGGAGGTACTTTGGCTCAGAGAGAGAAGAGGAATGGAGAGGAGAGAAGTACAGATGCACCATTCAGAAGCTCTCCAAGCTCTGTGACCCAGGAAGGGAAGAGAGGGAGAAGCCATCCATCCTCAATGGGCACTGTAGAGGCTGGAAGAGGAGAGGGGGTCCATACAGACAGGCAGCCTAGCTCTTACAGTACATATGGCATTTGTTTTGGCTGTTGTGGGCCCCAAGTGTCCGTTTGTGGACATGGAAACTGTCTGGGACCCACAGGACTTTGTATGTGAACGGTTGGCAACTGTCTGCAAGCCACAATCTGGCTGCTGCTGCTAGTCTCTCACCAAACTGCATCATGGGATAGCTGCAGTCCTCCCTCATCAATGGACATGTAAGAACACTGAGGGAGGCTCTCGCCAGGCTCTCTCCAGAGCTGTCAATGGATGCTCAGTAGATATGGCTGGTGCTGCACTCGCTCTCCCTCTGATCTAGTGGGTAGTGCTGGAGAGACAGGCAGCTCACTGTATATTTATTAGAGGACTTATAGTCACGGAGTGCTGTGTTACTGGGAGTTGGCACATGCCCCTGTACTATATTTGGTGAATGAAAGCAATTGCAAAATGGAATCTCTCCTGCAGGCCCACATCCCCTCCCATCGTATCTCTCTCTCCTTTCCAACTATCTCTGACTATCTCTATCGCGAGTGCCTGCACGGTGTAAGATGGAACTGTAACGCGATAGAGCAAACACATAGTCCTTCCCAGCGGAGCCGTGTGCACCTTTGCTTTGGGACACTTCCTATCTCCTCCCTCCCGCCCTTCTCTCTCTTTTTCCCCCCCACACGCACTCACTATTGTGGTTTTCTGTATATATTGTACAGCGGAATTATTTTAAAAAAGGTTGTTTGATGCTATCGGAAAAATGTCCTACTCTTTATTCGTCTGTTAGCCTTCTCTTTTCTTTCTACCGTTCTTGATATAATATGACAAACTGTAGCTGGTGTAACAGCTTTAGAATTGAATTGTTGTGATATTTTTTTTTCCCTCCCTGGACCCCAACCCCTTCAGAAGCTTGTTGTCCCCCCCTTGAAGCCCATGACGCCATTTTAGTCCCTTCTTCGCAGCCGCCTCAAGGAAAACAATGTCACATTTCAACATGTCATTGTAACCGTCACTCCTTTGTTGTTGTTTTGGGTTCCATGAGAAGCTGCTCACGAATGCAGTTTGTTGGCTGGGAGTTGGTACGTTATTACTTTCGGCCATGATAGACAAAGTAGAGGAGGGGAAGCGAGAGAGGCTGAGAGCAGAGCAGCTGTCGAGAGGGTTGATAGAGAGGTAGAACACAGCAGATTCTCCCACCGCGTCCACTCCTCTCCCGTTAATGGTGCCCGTCATCCCAACACCGCTACACAGCGCCCGCCTGCTGAAAACAGTCAATCTGATTCGCTCTGATGCTTTTATTACCCTTCATGGATCCAGCATGCTCGGGAGCGCAGCACGGAAAATCTGAACTAATAAATTAGGTTTGTGGTTTTTGTCTTGTGTGTGTGATTTAGGGCCGGTTCGAAATTTACTGGGGTGGGGGGGGGTGGTCCGAAATAGGGGAGGGTTGTGTTTTTTTTTATTGGGCACAGGGGAGGGTAGTGCGTTTCTCCCTGGTTTACATTCACCATTTAGCAGGTTTTACTATATGATTTCTTCCATCCTAGCCAAATGTCCTCATGTGCTTGCATGCTCCTCCCCTATCAAGGTGTTTTGGTACTTCCCTAATGCACTACACTATTCCACGCGCTTACTGTACCACAGGTCAATATAGTCTACCAGTCCCAACTGTCTATCCTGCCCTCTGTCCAACATTCATAGTGACAATAGTGGCAGGTGGATTGTTTGTCCAGATCTGCAATCGGTTAACTAGCAATCATACCACACATTAAAGCATTCAAATCTGCACCAATTTTCTATAAAAATCCACAAGAACATAGAGGAATAGCTGATAGGCAGCGGAAAGGCCAGGTGTGTCATTGCGCATGAAAGAACAGTGAAGAGATGAGACGCGCAGCTTAAAAAGCTCCCCTATTGATCTTGTTTAGGGACAATACAATGATCCTACCTAGACTAGCCTACAACACCACAATGCATTGAATAATTGCATTATTGTTTTCAAGTGACTACAAAATTCTTCTCTAGGCTGTAAACTGTAGTGAACATGTAATTTGAATAACAGCGCAAAAGCCCTGTCATATGAATGTTTCATTCCATTTGGATCAGTTGTGGGTCTAGAAAGGCACTGTAGTAGGCCAGTCTGGCTGTATTTTTAACTTCTGATACTGAATGCGCTGGTTTTTGCAGATCATCATTCTTCCAAGTCGTCCTATAATAATGTTGCCACATAGGCCTATGCTCCCAGCAGGCCCAGTGATTCAGAAAATATGAACCTGTGTTCTGCCTCCTCTCCGATCCGAACCGCTATTCCTCGCGCAACTAGAACCATAACGCTTCAACATAGCCTAAATATTTGTCATTTGACTTTTTAAATGTATAACCATTTATGTGTGGCATAAACACAACCGGTCACAATGTTTTAATCTGGTTAGGCTACTTCAAAAGTCTCCTGTAGGCTACCTTCACACGTTCGTCCACTCTAATATAATTCCAGCATCCAAACTGCCCTGGCCATTTCAGGAATAGAAAGAGCCATCTGTTACAAAACACCAAAATGTTTAATAACTTTCGGAGATTGTCAAGCCAAGCCTTCGGTACTGGTTAAGCCTACAAGGTAGGGAGGGATGTATAATCTGTTTGTCCAGATTGACATAGTCTATTTAATTGTGGTGTTGAAAATGCAAACCTTGATGTTGAAGCGCCCGAAATTGGTAATCCGTATGCAGCTATGTTTTGCTTATTGGTTGTGTGGTGCATTGGCACAGAAACCTGTTGGTGGAAAATTAGTTTGCATATATTTTCTATAAATATAGCATCAAAATGTTGAAAATCTGATTTCCCCCTAGCTGATCATTGTCTGCCAGCTCTGATTGTAGTGTAATGAGACAGGCAGGGAGAATCTCGTCTGTGGTGGTCGGCGAACCCTGAGCCTTCTGGCCCGTAGCCCTGCGTGGCATCGACTGTGCCACAAAAGGATGCTAAAGTGGTAAAGTCGATATCCCTGTTTATACGTTGGGGAGGGGCGTGCATTTTTCTTTTGACACCTCGAGTTGGACCACTGATTGATAGGCCCTACTCTCACCACATGACTGTTGATGCTCAGCCATGATTGGATACTGGCACAGATTTTTTTTTCTTCAAAGTCGATTCTTGATTTTTTAGATGTGTCCATTATACAATGGGGGAGGAGCTAGTGTTTTGTTTTTAATGCAATCTGTACAGAGTGAGATGGAAGGTGAGGGAGGTCATATAGTAATAATGTCATTCTCTGCTGTTATACGTCTCATTGTTAAACCAGATACCCTGTGGTGGTGGCAGGTTGTTAAAAAATGATGAGGAAAACAAGCTCTTGATTTTATTTTTCATTTTTCGAGAATCTAGTTTGGGGCTAATTTTTTTAGTACGCTGACACCCGCCAGCCAGAGAAATGACTTGTTGATCCCACGGCAGCCATTGTTGAGGCGTTGTCTCAGATGGTGCTTGGGTAGTCAATCCTTGTGTTCCTCCCACAGGGGGAGGAGGGAATGTTCTTGTGTGGGATTTCCTCTTCCAGTTCTCTATTCATAACCCCGCTCCCTAAACCCCCCTGCCCTATCACACTCAGCCCCGCCCCGCCCCGCCCCCAGAGCAGTGGCTCAGTATCAGTCATCGGTACTTGAAAGAAAGATGTTTACAGCTTTTTTTTATTGCTATGTTTTGTTTTGGTTCATCCCCCACCTCTTCTCTCCCTCCCCTGCTGTCCTTTCCCCTAGGGTTTCTCTCTTATGTAAAGTGTACATTGCCACGTTTCTTTTTTTTATACAATACTGTAACTTGCCTTTGTCCATTTAGGCAACAAATAAATCTTTTTATGAGACAATCACTCCTGTCCCATCTGTCTTTTTTCCACAGGTAAATAAAGGGCATGGATCACCATAGGTATTGCTATTGGGAAACACTTAAGTTATTGCATATGATGCAAGTGCACTAACCTATCAGATTATAAGGTTATTTGCCAACATTCTGGTACTTGCTTGTGTTTAAGAATATATTTTTCCATTGACTTGACAAATATGGTTCACCATGCAAACAAATTCCGCTAAAACTTACTAACTACAGGCACACTTATAAACGTATAGTGCATTATAAAGCTTGTTGTAAGTTGTCATAATTCAGAAATAGTTATAACATCCTTACAATACATGACTAGGATGCATTATAAGACCAAAGTGCATAATCCATCATAGATCCTATTTGAAAATAGTGTTATAGGTGAATGCAGCGTGGTCCTCTGTAGCTCAATTGGTAGAGCATGGCGCTTGTAACGCCAGGGTAGTGGGTTCGATCCCCGGGACCACCCATACGTAAAAATGTATGCACACATGACTGTAAGTCGCTTTGGATAAAAGCGTCTGCTAAATGGCATATTATTATTATAATGCAATGTTGTATTACCCAACTCAGTGGATTGGTTACCCTATACATGTATCCGGTAGGGCTATGCTGCATTATGCACCATAGTGATGATGTATTATCATGAGGTTACTAGTTATGAGTTGTTATGATGCAAGTTTTATAATGCACTATAAGTGTATCATAAGGCATTGTAAATGCGCTTTCAAGGCATGTGTGCATCATCGAAAGCGTTACCCAAATTCCGCTAGCTTTATCAACTTTTAACTTCATTGTTAATCAGTTGGGCACTGTGATACATTTTGTGATGCAGTAGGGCACATTGACCACAGAGGGGCTCTGGCATACCGATAGAATTCTCCTCTCATCCAAGTTGTGAGCATTCAGCATTCAACGAACTGCACATTAGTGGTTTGCTTTGAAACGAATGCTATCCACACACACTGCACACTATAAAAGTGAGTTGAAGGATATGGGTCACACTGTTTTCTTAGTCTAGTTGGGGATTTGTCAGCCCAGTACCAGGCTTCTTTTCAGCTTTTTGAGAAATCAGGTGACCAAGCCTGGCTCTAGATAAAAGCTCCATACAAACACTCCAGCCTCGTGCACAGCGGTTGCTATGGAGACACTGTTGGAA